CTAACGAACAAAGGGTTTCTCCTTGGGTTGTGAGTGCATGGGTCTTATATACCTATTTCTTTGCACGCATACTTCTACATAAGAGTGACAGTTCATATATTTTTTCTTATATATATCCGAAAATACACATATGTATATATATATATATATATATATATATATATATATATATATATATATATATATATATATATATATATATATATATATATATATATATATATATATATATATATATATATATATATATATATATATATGTATTATTATATTCCAGCAGGTAATTAATAAATATATATATAATTGGGGTCGATCAAATTTTATATCTAAATTACATATGATTTAGTTTTTTTGTCACTTTTAAATAAAATTCCCAATTTTAATATATTTTGGCTTTCTGGCATTATATATACATATATTTGTATATAATATATATATATATATATATATATATATATATATATACACACACACGCGTGCATCCACTTTTTAGGGCTGAAGAATCGATCAAACTACTCGATACATGATTCGAAATCTGACTGTTAAACATACATGCACTTTCATTTGATTGACATATGAAGCTTGATCGAGTCGAGCTCGAGTTCGATAAGATAAAATGATAAATTATATGTATAAAATTCAGCTATACTCGAGTTCGATTTATTTTCACCTCGATTAAACTTCGTTTGAGCTCGACTAATTGCTAACATCAAATACAATTTTTTTATAGCTAGATACAAATTTAAACATACTTGAACAATCACCTGCTCGATCGACTCAATTCGCATGTTTGACGACCCTATATACAAATATCATTTGGGGAAATAGTGAGAAGAAAACGAAAACATTACCAAACATTGCCTTCTCATGTATGTTTCCCCTTTTGGATTAATTAATTATCACATTGTCATTTATATTATGGGATTTTAGTTTTGGCTTTGCTAAGGTGGGTTTGGTAGGGGAACCATATCAAACCTCCAATCCATTACTATTATCGAAATTTCGTATAGTACGATATGATAATAGCTATTACCAATTTATATCGATCGACCATTTGTGTAAAAACCGAATGTTATATTTTCAAAGCATTTGTAGGCATAAATATGTTTTAAATGTCAAAAATTAGTATTGAAGGTAATATTATTCATAATGTACTCAATTAGAAATTTGCAGCATTTTTAGATGATAAGAGAACATGGTTCCAAGTATTGCTTAAAAAATTTCAGACAGCTTAGGCTGACAATCGACAACTTAGTTGGAGAGTTTAGATTGAATTAAACAGCCTACACTGCAAAATAGATAGTTTAGTTGGAGAATTTGAACTGAATATAGACATCTTAGACTGAAGAAGAAAAAAGAAAAAAAAAACCAATGAAAATAACCTTTTTCAATAGCGCGGTTGGCGGAGATTATCGACAACTTAGTTGGAGAGTTTAGATTGAATTAAACAGCCTACACTGCAAAATAGATAGTTTAGTTGGAGAATTTGAACTGAATATAGACATCTTAGACTGAAGAAGAAAAAAGAAAAAAAAAAACCAATGAAAATAACCTTTTTCAATAGCGCGGTTGGCGGAGATTAGCAAAACCGAAAAATATGATTGTCCTGATATGAAAGGAAATTAACCCACAAAACCGAATAACTTGAACGATGTTTAGCAAATTGGGGATCAACACCATCGCGACAAAAATAATATATATTTTTTTTTAAATTCAAACTAATTTACAACTATATCGAACACAGCTGCATCATATGCTAACATTAACCCACAAATCCAATATATAAAGAGTTATCAAAGGCAAAACTTTATGTTATTTCTATAAATTAGAAGAAACTATATACAATATTTCTCTCCTACGGTACGCGTATTCTCTACCATACGCGCACGGGGTTATATCTATTACTCGGTCATTCACACACACACACACATCCATATGGGTGTGTGTGTGTTATCTGGTGTACCCTTCACTGGATGTGGCATGTATTTCGAAGTTTGACCGTGTTACTTACTCTCCTATATAGTCATGTATGTGTCGAATTTATACTAAAAAAACGAGCATCTTTCGAAATCAAGCTTTGACGGTCGAGCCGGTATGTGGAATCAGAATCGAAGGCAAGTCCCTGATTCTGAATCCACTGCCCCAGAACGAAGCGAGGCAAAGCCCCATAATAGCCATGGCTACAACCGAGCAAGCTGGTGGGACCGCTTGCGTGGACCCCAGAAACTGACTTGCGAGAAGTCCAGCTAGCGTCGAGCTTTGCATCCCCGTGCACAGCGATATCGTCCTGCATACTTCTTCCTCTAACCTGTTTCACAAAATCATTTTTTTATTATTTTTTTTATTTTAAGTATGTTAGTGTTTATGTCGACAATTTTATCATAGAGAATAGCCAGAGAGATAAACAGAGACTTAGAGAGATAGACAGAGTAATGTTCAGTAGCTGGACCGACACGAATCGTTGGATATACAGTTAAACCTCTATAAATTAATTAGAGTCGGGACTAACAAAAGTCTATTAATTTAGCGAAATATTAAATTATCGAACTAATAGTTTTGTACGTTTTTACCGAGTCGGGACCGAAAGAAATTATTATTTTAACGAGGTTATTATTTTATCGAGGTTCGACTGTTATAGGGTTTGGTCTAATAAATCAAGAAACATGCAAATCTATTATACCAAGTTATAACTAAAAAACGAGACATAATAATGCGGTTTTCGACTTTTCGCAAAGAAATGCAAGACATGGTGCGGTTCGATCATCCATAATTCCGTAAACAAATCTCGATCGATTCTTCCGTTCGCACCCTCAACTCCATATTTAGACATAATAATAAACACGTAAACATAGACAAAATAAAGATCGGAGATTGTTTAAGAGATATATATACTTGCCTCAAAGGTTGCAATTTGGAGATCCAATAGCCCAAAGTGAACGCAACTGCGTGAAATGACAATACGGGCCCCACTAGTCTCAGACCCTCAGCCGAAAGAATCTGGCTCCTGTTTATAGCAAGAGGGCTTCCGATACACATCGAAGTACAAACCATCGCAACAAACGGCATCACCGGTTGTAAAACCGACACAACTGGTTTCGCGTAACTGTTCAGCACCAAACCAAGAAAAACCGGAGCAAGCACCACCTTAAAAAAAAATAATAAATAAATAAATTACACACATGTCCCAATCAAGACAGACAAACCTTAATTTAAGACACGTGCAATAAAAGGGCATATATACCTGCAAAATCGATTTAGACATAGCAACGGCATCAACTGGCACAACGGAGCCGATCAAAAGACCGGTCAAAAGAGGAGTGATTAGAACCGAGGCGATAGTCGAAGAGCTAGTCAAAAGAATGCTCAAAGCTACATCTCCTTTACTCAAGAAGCTAGCGTAGCTCGATAATTGAGCCCCTGCTACACATGATGTAAGAACAAAACCGGCGTAGAACATTGGAGATATACCAAAGGCACGTGCCACAAATACCCCTAGAGCCGGTTTCAATACGTATTGAGCGATAAATCCAATCGATAACGGCCAAGGTCTGCAAGAAAATAGATATTTCATACTTCACGAATTACGTACGGAATATAAATGTGATCAGTACTAGAGAAAGGGAAAAAGATCAAACCTTTTAAATGCTAGAGCAAAATCTTCGATCGAGAGCTTGATCCCGATGGATAACATAATGCCGCCGAGTGCGGGGGCGTAAAAGTCTTTTGACACCCTGCAGGTTCCTCTATCATTTAAAAACAAACAAGAGTACACACATCTTAAGAAAGCATTTAAGCATGTTTGAAATCAAGAAACTGGTGTTTATGCATTCAAGAATCGAACTTTTCGAAGGTACGAAAATACGGGAACCTTATCGAAGCTCTGTCGAAGTAATTACTAATAGTAAAAGCTTCAAGCAATTAAAAAATAAATAAAAAATTAAAGCAATACAGATTTCCAATAGAAAAAAGAAACTATAAACAAATTCAAGATTCATTGCAGTCTGAGCAAAAATGAATAAACAATTACTATAAAAGAAAAAAAAGGAAGAATCCCAACTCACCAAGTGAAAGTGGAAGGCTTGGAGAGGGCGGCGACGGCGGTCAGCGCCACCACAAAGGGAAGCAGCGCCGACAGAATCTGAGAAGCGTCGGAGTTGACCTCGGCCTCGACGTCAACCTTGGGGCCCACACCGAACGACAGCAGAGAGAAATTGCCCTCTCTTTTGTGCAGCCCGACTTTCCCTATAAAAGGCGACGAGGTCGAGCACGCGACTGCGGCCGACGCGCCGCCCCGCCCCTTGAGATTCCTCGAAAACCCTTTTGGGATTTGAGTGAAAGATTGTTTCTTTAAGGTGAACGAAACTGAATTCTTGGGGAACGAATTGCGGTTGGAGAAAAATGGTGTGGTGGGTGTGGTTTGGAGGGAAAGGCATGGAATTGGTGACATTTCTTGGGTGGGGGGTCGCCCGCCGGAGAAGCTGCTTATTTTCCGGCGAGGTGGACGGTGGTGGTGGTGGTGGTGGAGGAAGAGGAGTGGGGAAGGGGATAAGGTGAATCTAGTAATATTATTTAAAGAGAACTAAATAATAATTTATGAGGGTTTTTTTTTTTAATAAATGAGAAATAATTTATGGTTTTAAGGAAAATAAAACCTAATTTAGTTATTTATTTATTTATAAATAGTTAAATGTTTATATTTATTGGTGTGGGAAATAAGTGGGGATAGAAATTGACCTACTTTTGTTTTATATTTGCATCATATTTAGTTGTATGGTTAGTAGTAAAGAAAAAATGTGTGGATTTGAGTTGTCCAACAATGCTATTTTTTTTCATTTTTAAATTACTTTTTTAATCATTTCCTATGGTTTTCAAATTAAAGTTTTCTAACAAGTATTATGGAATGATTCAAAAGAAAAAAACAAAACAATTAATGTGGAATAAAATTCAAGAATTGTGTATCTTCCAAACAAACATTATTATACATAGGGTTGTCAATCGTGTCATGTGAGTCGAGTTTTGGTTACTCAAGACTCGTATATTATCGTGTTCCACTATTAAATGTTAAAGTTCACATATTATCGGGTCCCATAACTATAGACTCAAGATTTGCTCATGCATGTTTTTCGAGCTACAAGTTTATATCGAACAATATAGAAATTACATATATTACAACTCTGCATCCGAACTTGTCCATACGATAAAAATATTTGCACCAAGAAAGCAAAATCTAGAATATTCATGAATAGCAAAATAAGATAAAAATCATAGTCACAAAATAAGATCAAATCATATTATGTTTCTTGAAACAAGTGAAGTTTAATAAGTTTTGGTAAATATATTTTGCGTGATTTCTATTTGCCTATTTCCATTGCCACCATTTACTTTCTTTTATTTTTGACTTTTATTTTACAAAATAAAATAATATAATACGATTGTAATCTTTTTTTTTTTTTAGGAAATACAATTGTAACTTGTAGTGGTATATATGTTGAGCCAAATCATAAAATAATAAATAGATTATGTATTTAATTATTAACTTAATTGAGTTGACTTTATTTGGATGAAGCCGTAGTTGGCTCAAATCCTCAAATTCAACTCATAAATTAATCGTGTTTCGTATAATGACTCTAATATAATTAAGGCGAGTCATCGAACTTCAGTGAGGCCCGACTCAATTACCAGTCATAATTATACGTCAAAACTAAAAGGAATATTTTACAATATATTCCCAGTGGCATTTTGATTTTTGAATAACTTATGAACTTTCTTGTCTAGTGTAAATTGGTATATTATATGTATTTTCATAGTCATAACCGTCTTCTAAGATATTCCATAAGACAAGTAAAGCATAGTATTAATGTATTATTGGACCAAAATGTAACAGCGTGTCATAATTTTTATATATTTAGAAATATTTTAGTAATTTTGCAATAAGTACTTGTGATATTTTACTCCAGGTGGGGAGTAAATAATAATAATAATAATAATAATAATAATAATAATAATAATAATAATAATAATAATAATAATAATAATAATAATAATAATAATAATAATAATAATAATAATAATAATAATAATAATAATAATAATAATAATAATAATAATGTTTCTATTGTCCTGTATATTTATGGTTGTAACAAAAAAAACCTTAGATTTTTTACAAGATATATAAAAAAGTTATTTTATATAAATTTAATGTAACTTAATATTATATATTATAAAGAAAAATTAAATGGCATGTCACTCACTTGTGACGGAGACAACATCGGGTTAGGATGGGCCACGACCCCTTCAACATTTCTTAAATCTCTATTAATTTATATAAAAATATAAAAAATTTGTGTACAATAACAGCCTTTTCATAATTTTTTTTAATGTATCCTACAACACAGACTTAAAATCCTGGCTCCGCTAATGCTCACTTTACTTACGAAATAGCTCAATACATGGTACTTAAATACATATTATTTAGTTATTATTTGAAGGAAAAGAAATGACAAGATTTCATTTTGGAACAATACACTAAAATTGGAGAGAATAAACCATAGAAAATGTAGAATATTCATCATATATATATATATATATATATATATATATATATATATATATATATATATATATATATATATATAAAAGTCTATCGAAAATGATACTTTGTGAGTTGTTCTTTTCATCATTTGTTGTTAGTCCAGCTAGCTGGAATTCTACCAAGATAATAAAATGGACAACCACTTCAATCAATAGTGATTGATAAATTTACTTGATGATTGTGATTTGAATAGATCTTGCAAATATTTATCAGTGCTGCAAAATGCCAACACTCAATTAAATTAACATTTAGAGCAAATTACGTTCAACTCCTGATATAAAAAAAAATTACGAAAAAAGTCTATTCTGTTTGTGTAATTAGGTTCATACTAAGCTTTCTTCGTATCTAAATATCATTAGCTCCAAGTTAAGCTTTCTTGCTCTCCTAATAGGATTAGCTTCAAGCTATGCTTTCTGCCTCGAATAATTATTGTCTTACACGTCCATTCTTAAGGTGTTAAATTTATCTACTAATTTATGGGTTTTTTCATAAAAAAATACATTATCGAAAGGGATAGTTGTATTTATTCAAACAAGCGATTGTTTCGTAATTTAATTTTACCTCAGAGAATTGCCGTAATTTACCGTTGGAAATTAAATTAAGAACTTAGTTAGAATCCTGGCAACCGCATTGTCGAAATTTCACCTCCAATCAAGGTTGGTTCCTTATGTCCACCAGGTCCGGGTTCGTTATCCTAACGGGTTTTGAGCCACCATAAATTTACATCCCTCTATTAAATATTTGTGGGGCCAAGGGATGGGGGCCCTGGGGCAAGGGATTTCGTCTGGTGCGAAAATCAAAATATATTTTAAAATTACAATGTTGTACTATGTGATCATTATTATTAAACTATAAAACCTAAAAATTTTTTATTCTTGAAAATAACTGTGATTAATATTAAAAAACTAACTTCGTGTTTATTACTAATTATAATTAAAAGTTAATTATTTATTATTGTATGAATTATTAGGGCAAAAAGAGTTTTTTAGTCCTGTAAGTTTACTAGTTGGAGTTTTAGTGCATCATGTTTCAAAATCAGAATTTTAGTCCTATAAGTTTCAAAAGTTGAGAATTTTGATCCTATGACCTACTATTACAGGTTAGCAATGGTTGGTTGAATGAGTTGACATTTAATTTATAAAAAAATATAGATTAAAAATAAACTAGATGATGTGGCTGATGAGTTGGACGATTTTGGAGGGAAATAAAATATACCATCAAATTATTATTTTTATTTGATGAATGAAATAAGCATTTTTGTAGAAACTATTTTTTTTTTTAATTAATATTTCATAGTTTTCAATAATAAAAATAGTAATTAACTATATTTTATTACTCGTTGTGTGAATTTGTTACTCTTAGTTTGATAAGGTATTTTATGTTTGGAGGCTCTAGAATGCTTTTTTGGTACATTTAATTTTATAGAATTTTGAATACACTTTATTATTTTTTTTTGATAATTCCTAAATGACCTTGTGTTTATACTATTATGCG